CAATATGGATGCTGTGGAAGCAAAGCAAGTGTATCCTGCTTTTATCCAGGCTTAAAGATCACTAGCAGGGATAGCAATTTAAAGGTTGTTTTACAAGATACACCCAAGGCTAAAATGATAGTAAATGATAATAAATTATATATACTTGTAGTGAAAAACAATTGATGTATAAGTTTATTCACATTTTTTTCAACAGATAAAATAGATTAAGGTGGCATATGTGGCTGTTTTCTTATGAAATGTATTTTGCCTCATGATGACTTTTTTTTCCTGGTAGCTAATCAGTATTATGCAGTTAAAAATGGACCACTCTGTTATTTGTTAGTGACTTTTCGAAGTGTCAGAGGAGTGCACCAATTGAAAATATAATCATGGAATCACAGAATGGTTTGGTTTGGAAGGGACCTTAAAGCTTATCTAGTTCCAACCCTCTGCTATGGGGGTTGGACCAGGTTGCTCAAAGCCCCATCCAACCTGACCTTGACCACTTCCAGGGATGGGGCAGCCACAGCTTCCCTGGGCAACAAGTTTCAATGTCTAACCACCACTCACAATAGAGAATTTCTTCCTAATGTCTAATCTCAATCTACCCTCTATCAGTTTAAAGCCATTCCCCCTTGTCCTGTCCCTACCTGCCCTTGTAAAAAGTCCCTCTCCAGCTTCCATGTAGGTCCCCTTAAGGTGCTGGAAGACTGCTATAAAGTCTCCCTGGAGCCTTCTCTGGGCTGAACAAGTCCAGCTCTCTCAGCCTTTCTTCACAACAGAGGTGATCCAGCCTTCCCAAATGAGAGGCCCTCTTCTGGACTGTGTCTTCTCTGTGGGGACCCCAGAGCTAAACACAGTACTCTAGGTGAGGTGTCACAGAGTGATCAGATAGGGAGAATCACCTCCCTCCACCTGCTGGCCACGGTTCCTGTTACACAGCCCCAGGTACAATGGGCTATCTGGGCTGCAAGCAGGCATTGCAGGCTCATGTCCAAGTCTTCATTCACCAGTATCAGTTTATATCAGCTGAGAATGTAAGAAATGTATTGCTATCAAATAGTGCGAGCTTTGAGAAAGCTGTTATTAACTTCAGAAAATGCTGCTTCCATTAGAAGGTAATGGAAAATGAGTATTAATATTTGATTCTAACAAATTGCCAATGTAATACAGTGCATAACATAGATAAGCATATTACAAACAAAGCTTATTTTTTCTTCAATTTTGTGTAATAAAAACAACTGCCAACTGAATTTCGGCATCTTACCAATCTTAAATATATGGAAATGTTGAGATATACCTCTGTAACTGGAGCTCAGGGAACAGGAACGAAGTAGAGAAGTTGAGAGTGAAGAAGTGAAGTTTAGTCTGGGATAGACGGGTGGGAAGGAAAGGCATGTTAATTGTCTTTATTTCTCAGTACCCAGATCTATTTTTATTTCCAGTAAGTTAATTTCCTAAATCAAGTCTGTTTCCCACGATGGTAATTGTTAAGTTATCTCCCCATCTTTATTTTGACCCATGGGCTTTCTCATCCGATGTTCTCACACTGCGCTATTGAGAAGGAGAGTGAGAGAGCACCTGAGTGGGCATCTGGCTGCAGCCCACTTCACTGGGCTTCTGAGCAGAACCTGTTTAAGACGTCCTGACTAGGTATCACAAAAGCCTTAAGATGGTAAACAGACAACACTCAAGAACTTGTGTGAAATCTAGCCCATGAAAATTTGCTTACGCATGTAAGAAAAATACTACACCAAATCTTGGAGATACATCTGTGCTTTGCTCCATATCTCTGCTCTGTGGAAAGATTTAACTATGCACATAAAGCATGAAAGTAGTGTAAGTGGAGTCAGTGGGGCAGTTCAAGTATTTAAACAGAACTGCATGTTTAAGTCATCATTTGGAGCAGAACTTTAAATTGCAGACCCTTATATTATAAGGTTGATTTCCATGCAATTATTTTATCCCCATTCATTTCTGCATATTTAGGGCAAGAGTTTTACATTTGTATGGAAATCAAGTACTCTTGTACAAACAATCCTCTATCATTTCACAGTGCAGACAGACTAATTCAGCTGACAATTGTAAGGCCACCAAAGTTTTGTTTGGAGTACCACACGCAGGACAAAACCACTCAAGTCATCCATCAGAGTTGGTTGTGTGCAAGTTCCTCAAAAACCCACATCCATCCTCCCTCCTTGCAGCAGCCATTTTTGAAGCCTCCTCATAGTTCTTTTTTCCATACCTGCCACTGCTAACTCCTGC